GGTATTACGCTGAGAGCGAAAGGGAGAGCTATGACATTTCGTTGTTGTTATTTTTATTTATATGGTTACAATTTACGCCAACAAAATGTACGACGCGAGGAAATGAATAATCAACCAAGGCCAGACTTTCGTTAAACCTCGGAAGGATAGCAGAAGAGAGATCATACTCTATAATAAAGCGCAGGGGGGACCATGTGACTCATGCGTTTGTCGCTATGTCTCGAATGCACCCATTGCACCAAGGATGTCTGCCTTCCGAGATGTTGACTGGAACGCCCTTTAGTGCTCGACTCCAAAAACAGTAATATTGATTAGCAATATTGTCACCGAGTGGCTCGCTTCAGTTTATAGCGCATTAGGATGGGTCAACTTTGGTATCAGTTTATTTTAGTTAATAATTTCTACAACTTAACTGTACAAAAGCATTGCTTTACAAAGTTGTAAGTGGCGCAGCAGAAACTCCAGATGTGATTTTCCTCATGAAGGTTCTCAATTTTGATACACTAACAGCCATATTTTTATTATCTGTTCAACATATCATAGTGTGAGCAAAATAGTGGGATTCTGGCCGCATTGTAACTAAAGGGAGTGTGACAGGCAGGAAAGGCCTTCAAGGAAGAAAATGGGGGGAATTGAAATATGGCAGATAAAGTTTTGTGAATGTAAGCTAAATCGTAAACACATTCATGAAGGGTCTGAGGAAAGGAAGCGGAGTAGGATGGAATTCTACTTTCTGATTGCGAGGTTAAATGTAAAATCTACCAACAGTGAGAAGTTCGAATTTTATTCGAAAACTTGATAAGGGATGTTTTGAGCAGTAGGTGATTTGAGATAGGGAAGAAAAAGGAAATCCAATTTCTTATCATGAGGAACTACCGCAGATGGCGCTTTTTGTAGAATGGGAAAGCCTGCACCTTAGTCAGCAAATTCTTTGTGGACTGTCGGAGTTTCTTATGAGCTAAAGAGCTGGGACTAACTTACCACTCTTTAGTGCCTTCTTAAAAATTTTTTGCGTGCCTGAAAGGCATGCTATTTGGGGTTTGTGCTCTATACCAGTAGGTGCGGTGGCTGGGGAGGGACCGGGGGGGGGGGGAGGGAAGGGACGAAGGTCGGGGTGGGAAAAGAGGGGTGAGAAAGGTACTATGGCACGGACAGAAAAAGCTGGAGTGGATTTAAGCATTTAGTGGCACACTTAATCCGAGTTACGAAGATTATAGTGGAGCTAACAGTAAGGTAGCATGTGGCATAGAGCTTTTTGAGCCCAAATCAGCTAAAGATATTCAAGTTCGTCGAAGAGCTAGAGACTAGGAAGTAACTACTATTCGATGCTCTCTACACGTGCCTGAAAGATTTTATGCTATACTTTCGGCTACGAAAAGTTGAAGACAAAACTTCACAAGTTCTAGCTTTTGAACACTTCTTACTCTACACACACAGCCAGTTCAAAGCGCCGCGAAGCGGCGCTTTGAACTGGTATATAATAAGAGAGAAAGACAGAGATAATATTGGGTCGACAAAAGGTTCTGCAAATTTTCAAATTTTTATGATTTGTACAGATTGGTTTGTGAGCTATAGACGTAATTTACCTGCTAAATTCTGTTCTTGCAAGTAATGGTTATACAAATAAAAAAAGTGTAATTTGTAATGGGATAAAACTGCTGTTGCAGATACGCTGTTACTGAAACTGCTGCTGGGAGGGGACCTGAGAGGAGATGCTTCATCGCTACTCTAGGTATCGTATCTTTCATCTTCCTTCTCTATCTTGCTTACGAAGGTTCTCATACCCTTACACCTGCGCATAAGGATACTAGGTTAATGCCATACAAGATTAGTTTTTATCATTTTCTCTGATCTCCTGGGATTCCCAGGGAATCCCGAGGGGATCACTTCTCATTTTGAAAGTCATTTATTCTCCTGGGAAGTCAGGAAAACGCTGCAAAATTGTACTGAGGATATCCTACGGCACCGCCAAACATGTTCATAATAGAAAAAAAGTAGAATTTCAGGATATCGAAATCTTCGATGAATTACAGCTGGCGAGCCGGAATTATCGAAAAATTCACAATCTTCAGATTCCATTTCTCCCGTTGAAAACAAGCTTAACAGTGCCGTAGTATACCTCCAGTGCAATTTTGCAGCGTTTTCATTGATTTTTAAGAAAGATAAATCACTTTGAAAATGAGAAGTGATCCCAGGGGATTCCCTGAGGATCACACAAAATGACAAAAAACCAATCTTGTATGGAAGTGACCTGGCATCCATTATGCGCAGGTATAAGGGTATGAGAACTTTCATAAGCAGGATAGAGAAGGAAGAAGAAAGATACCTAAAGTAGCGAGATATGACGCATCCCCTCTCTCACATCCCCTCCCCTTCCCAGCGGGGATGGTTTCAACAACAAGGCAAGCATATTTCGTGCATCACGTTAGGTTCGCTTATCCTAGGAAATTGAAAGTGAAAAAGAATTGGTTCTCGACAGTTTTTCTTATTCCAGCAAGTAAAGATACAGAAAAAATTTAAAAAAAACAGTCATTTCTAGGCATTGCTGTACAAGCGATGAAACCATTGAAAAGCTCTCATTCTTGTAAAATTTAGAGCTTCGTTACTGCTTATGTTCATTCAACTTTTGGATCACAAATGGTCACTCTAGCAAAAGAAACCAAAGTTATTGAATGTAATCCGCAAAATTTTTGTATGCATTGTGCAAGAAGAGACGATTTGCAAAAATGCACTGCGAGACTTGGAATTATAGTTGGTTGTAGTGACAAATAAAGCGCGAATGGTGTGGTGCTTTGTCTTCTTTTATCAATGTGAAATTTTCTGTGCAAGAGTTTCCTTATTTGAGTTTCTATACCTACTCAGTGCAAGCTCTTACCGCACGCTATCTATTTAATCTCCTTTGGGATACCACGAATACATAGAACAAGAGCTATTTATTTGGTGCTCCCCACTAATGTAAGCTAAAGAGAAAATTTTGATATCAGCGTCATTGTGGATTACTTCCTTCACGTATTCTGGCCTCATTATTACTTTGCTTTTTACGAGTATGAATCTTTCAAAATGTTCTACAAGTATAAACGTAAAAAAATTGATGTTATGGTATACTCAGTTTATAAACGGGGCATAAGCATGAAGCGCATTTTTGTTATCAAAAGACAGACGTTAACCTTGCGTAAGAATTTTTCTAATCAATCTTTCTTTTTGGAGTAAGCAGCCTTTCAAACTTCCTTCGTGCCCCTTTAAACTTTCAGTATTGAAGACTAATGCGATGGCCCATATAAGCCTCAAATCTGAGCTGGAGCCAACTCTTCATTATGTACCACACTGCAGGCAAAGGTTGCTTGGGCGAGATAGTCTTGCAATGGACATATGGCACGTACACACATTGATTTGAGTACATTCATGGTGTCTTAAAATTTAGCCATCTGGGCTAGTGCGTCTCTCTAGACAAAGTTTTTGCCGACCTTTAAAGGCAGCGTCCCACCAGACTGGGGTTACCTGGCTCTGGTAGTAATGTAATAGTAGACCCCCTAACTAAGCGACGACAGAAGTTTGCAGCGCGAAAGGAGGTCTACGAAGTCTACAAATCGCCCCTCAAGTGGCCCGAATCCTACGGTAGGTTCGGGTGAGTGCGAGAGGGTAGAGGTACGAACGCCTCAATTAGGCGCCGCTTCTGCGGGCAGCTGGCCCTTTCGTCTTACTGTTGTACATCGTGTTAGGACCAGTAGTCCGCGGAGGCGGTGCCAAATTGAGGCGTTCGTTCTTCCACCCGTGCGAGATGCATGCAAGGTAGAGACGCAGAGTCGTTGCGGGACCCTGCGCTCATGACTGTGTGCGCTATACGCACCCCGGCCTTGCAAATCGATATTGCTGTGTGGGCGGCGTCCGAGCTTACCGTAAGATTCGGGCCACTTTCGAAGCAAATTTCAGGCTTGGTAGACCCCCTCCTTCACTCCGAACTTCAGTCATCGCTTAGGTAGGGGGTCTACTTTAACATCGTCAAAACCCGGCACCCATCTCTTTGCCGGGACACTGCCTCTAAATACCATTCAGTAGAGCTAGCCTATATTTACCAGGAAGGGCCAAACTCGCCTGTGTTATCCGCCAAACAACTCCTTTGAGGGCAAGTCGCAACAGAGACAGCACAAAGTTTCGCAGGTAATTTGATCTTTCTAACAGACGTGATAGCAGTTCCATAAAACTAGTAGGCGTTCATGACGCACAGCTATCTGTTTCGCATATCGGAACAAAGGGAATTTTCGAAACTTTTTGAAGAAATTGGAGAATCGTAGAGAGCTTTATTAATATGAAAATATCATCACAACGTCACCGAAACCGTCAGCGAAATTTGACAGTTTTGAAAGCTGTACGCGATACGCAGTGGAGTACGGCTTTGAAAAGTTGGTTAAGCCTTTCGAATTCACTCAATCTACGCAGATTTACGAGAAGAACGAAAAAGAAGAAAAATGAGCGAGCTATTAGCATATCAAGATTCAAAAGGAGCATTGTGAGCCGTGAGCCTGCAGCACATTAAACAAAAAAGCTTTTTTTGTATTTTCTGCCTCTGCCGCGGCCCGCAACCTAAGAAGTGCATTACTCTTGGAGCAGGGATGCTGCACTCCAAATTTTTTCAATTTTCTCTTCAGCTTATGTTAGTGGGGAGCACCAAAAAATAGCTCTTGTTCTATGTATTTGTGTGTTGATGTTGCGATGTTCTTTGCTGTTGAATGAATCAGGTTATTGTTTTTTCTGGTAATTTCTCGATATACTGGATCAAGCAATACTCAACATTGACTTAGTTTGCCGAACATCTCGCAAACTGGAAATTTTTTCATAGATGACTACACATCACACTAGACATATGTGATTATTAGGCGAACACGATGAGCGATGAGCCATTTTGGTCGAAGAGTGGTGTTGCTCGGGCAGAAAGGGTTGGTAAAGTCATCATTCGCTTAAGTGGAAGACGGTATAAATGCGTTTGTGGTGGCGCCTGCAGCAGATCCGTATCTACAATATAATTCCTCTCATGTCTCTAAGTGACACAATATTTTGTCAATATACATCATTTAACAATGTACACTATTGCTTAACATAATGCTAACATTGTTACCCATTTCTGTACATGTATAATCTGAACTGTTGATAATTCAGATTTACGAAATAAATTGGAACTTTTAAAGCTTTTCGCCGGTTATGTGCTACAACTCGAGAACGTTCAACCTTTATTCCCCTTCTTTCAGGATGCGCTCAGTTACACTCTGTCTTTTATTCGCTTTCCTCATCGTATGTTTCGCTGAGGAAATGTTAGAATTCAGCCCTGACGATATCCCAGCCGAGTTAGTTCTACCAATTACATACACATGCAATCTCTTTCTTAAATGCTCTTTATAGCGCTCCCATCATCCGAGAGAAAAGACAGTTTGGGTGGGGAGGCTATGGCGGATTTGGAGGAGGATGGGGTAGAGGATATGGAGGCTACGGCGGTTACGGCGGTTACGGAGGCTACGGAGGTTATGGTGGCTTCGGTCGTCGATATGGAGGAGGCTGGTGGTGATCAGGATTGCCATATTTTTAAAATGCTCAATATCGTGCAATGTATTTTATAATGTATAATAGACGTATGCTGATAAAATGCTTCCGTTCATATTTTATGCAGAACCGTGTGGGTCAACGGAGTGTTGCTTGAAAACGATCTGGACAAGTTATTAGGATCGTCCACTTCATAAGATCTAATTTATATTCTAGTTTTTATTCAATCCAACATATGGCAAGAGTAAGAATTACGACTTAAGTTAGCTCAGTGGCTCACTCTGCTAAACAAAAACGGACTTGAACAGTTTACAACTCTTTACAAATCATAATTCTTTCACATGATGCGCAGAATGTGTAAGTATAGTTTTTGAAGATACATTCAAGATAACTGCAGCGACAAAGTTGTCACAATTTTTCTGCTTTGAACGACACTAGATGGAAATTCATCCCCATGATCGTATGCCCTTTTTAGATTATATCCCGTCAGTACGTGCTCCAACAACTTAGTTACAAATTCCGGGAAAATGCAAGCTTTGAGTTGAATTGAGCATCTGACTCTACTGTTTGTAAAGATGTGAGCATTGTGCAAGTCAGAACACCGAAGAAATAAATGTTATGGAAGGTAGAAATCGTCTTAAGAAATATCGTACTAATATACAGGGTGTCCTAAGAGATGTGCACACTGTTTGATCGTCAATAACTCTCTTGCTTTTATGTCTCTCGTCGATCTTTAGGTATCTATTCTATAGAGCGAGGTTCAACTTAGATTTGCTGTATGAAGCGAAATTCAAGACTTTTTTGCTACTGTAGAATTACGGTATAAACTTTTAGCACACAGCGCCATAGTGAATTAGGACGTTCGAAAGAAAAAATTCCGAAAAGCTCTGGAAATTTGTGTAGCAGGTTTTGAGCATGCTGATTCCATTATGCAACTTCTCACAAAAATTCTGAGCCTTTTCAAGCCTTCACATGTCTGTCTAGTGTTTGGCGTCTCTGAAAAGCGCTTGAGAACGGATGTAAACATTGTTTGACGAGTAGTTATTTTCCCACGAGAGTGCAAAGAAGTAAGAAAGTGATTTTATCACGTGTGGAAATCATAACTTACAATAACGGGCTAAGGGTGTGTGTGTGTGTGTGTGTGTGTGTGTGTGTGTGTGTGTGTGTGTGTGTGTGTGTGTGTGTGTGTGTGTGTGTGTGTGTGTGTGTGTGTGTGTGTGTGTGTGTGTGTGTGTGTGTGTGTGTGTCACAAAATTCATAGAGCGAGCTACAGCCGAGATTTTGAGCCGATTTTTTGCACAGCGCATGCTTACAGCATATAAGCTCACCATGTACAAGGGCGAGCGGATCCGCTGCGTGGATCGCACAAAAACTGTGCTTCAAACGGATCCGCACCGCTTTGAGCTTGCAGAACTGAGTCCGTATTTAGATCTTTTGCAAAGTTTTAAACTTTGACGACATATATATGGGCAAGCCATCGATTTCAGCTCAAAAATTGATTAAAAGATGGAAATTGTAGATATATGGCGCCAAAAAGGGTTGGTGGAATAAACCGCACAATTCTCAAGCTTCTACTTGGAGAATTAAAAAGATTTTTGCTCAGGGATGTAGCTCATGGTGGTCACTGTCCGCTATAGCACTTGCTAAGCCGTAATGAATTCAACAACTGATTCAAATTTGCGTCTATCTTTCTGCAGAATAATTTCATCTTTCAAAAGTCACCGATCTCACATAAAAAAGCTTTTGGAATGAGTAGTTGTTTACAATTCATTGGTAATGCTCAGCATCGCGAGGTGAGTTTTAAAGACGTCATAAAGCTCTACTATCTTTTATGCCAAGGATGGCGCTAGCTACTTATGCTAATCTACATGCTTTTAGCATGTAGGTTCAACATGGGCAAGGAGGAGCGGAACCAATGCGCCGTTTCCTCAGAATCGCATGTAAAGCCCATCCATCCACATAGGTTTTGATGAAGAAAATTGGAGGAAGATTTTTACACTTCAGTAGCTCAGTGATTGTTTTCGTTGGAAACCCTATAAAGCATGAGCACGGACAAAAAATGTTCGAAATTCTCAATTTTTCATGAAAGCGACGCCGGAAAAGATAGTTCAGCTTTTGTTCATATTTTCTAGAAATTTCATGTACAAAAGGGCAGATTTTTGCTCAGAGATGTAATGTGCAGTAGCGACGGCTTTCATGTCAATAATCAAATCGTTATAACCTCAGTAGTTACTAAAAATTAATTTTCACTCTCGACGAGAAGTTTTTTATGCTTGAAGTTACCACTCTAATCTGGTAGAGCCTTTGCAATGGATAGCTGTTTACACTTCACTGGTGGTAATCGCCATCATTCGGGTGAGTTTTAGAATAACAACTGTTAAGTAAGGAGAGGGCACTGGGAGACGCTGTGACGGACATGCAAGCTCTTAGTTTCAAGCGGCAGATTTCGCTTATAGAAAAGCGCCTGCGTTGTCAGAGGTTCCTGCTGAGAAAGTTAAGAGTGCAGCTGAATTCTCCCGAGCATCTCACAATTTTGCTCCTCCTGAAGAAAGCTCTCAAGCAAATGCTATCGTTGCACACTAGGGCTCGCATACATGAAAACTCCTGCGGCGATGGGAGCAACGGCGTTTCGTCTGCAGCCTCCTCATAATGGGAAATGCCGCTAAATTACGAGAATGAGTTAGGCACATAGATAGTAGGGCCAATGCGAGCCTCTGCGAAGCAGAGGTGACGCAGGTGTAAAATAACTTCAGTTACCAATGGAAGAATTTTGAGATGGCAAAACACAGACTCTGTTGCCATTTCCTAAATGTATTCAAATAAATTACTCATTCTCCACATCCATCATAGCATAAAAAAGATTTCCAAAAAATCAAAAAACTGAGCTTTTAGAGATTTACTCGTAGCGACGATAACTGCCTTTGACTGATAGTAGAAAAATCTGACTACTTGATGTAATAGTAGAAGCTTTGAACTATAATACTTTTCCTCAAGTTAAAATGGATAAAAACAACAAGCATTTATATGGGTATTCGCATAAAAGCAAGCTTATTTCTAACCGACTCGATAAAAACCAGTTAAGGGAAATTGAGGAAAATCTGTATTTATTCCCCCTTTTGAACAAAATGATTGGATGAAGAATTAGAATCAGACAAAAAATTGCGGTCTTTTTTTAGTCGATGTTCCGTTTTTTGGGGGTTTACTACGTTTAGGATTTAGGGTCAAAGGGAACTTCATAAGAAACTTTCAAGATCAAAAGTGACTTCGTTTCTCAGATCCCCTGGTGCCAGCTCTGCCAAGCCCTGTCATGTGGTCGCACTTTTTGTCACGGGTGTCAACTCTAATCACTTTCTTTATATTAGGTCGTCCCGAAAGTAATTTCGCTTTTTTCAAACGGGAGCCACATTTGATGGAACAAAGGTTTCTAAGAGATTTTGGCAGCATTCAATGCAGCATTTTATTCTCTTTCGAAAGGTTATGAACTTGTTGCAATACAGTCAATTAGCTTTCAGCAAAGAGTCAAAATCTGCGACCTATGCTTTTTTGAGATGGTCAACTTTCACAATTTTTCTGAACTTCTATATCAACTCTCCAAAAAAGCACAAGTAACTTCTTTATAGGGCAAACCCTACGGAATTCGAAACAACTTTTTCTCCTTTCCGTAGCTTGTCATACATTTTTAACAGAATTTTAACTGATGCTACCGATTTCCATACTTAGACAGCTAAATCCTCGTAGAACATCAAAAAAAGCAGCTCGCGCACTATTCGATGCAGCATTTTCTCCTCTTTCTAACAGGTGTTGTTTCCGATTCGTTTAGCTTCCGGGGATAAAATCATCGTAACTCATTTTTTAGCGAGCTCCAGGTTGTAGCCGAAAAACTCGAAAATTGATATTTCGAACCTATACCTACTCTATCGAACCGTTACTTGAACTCCTTCGGAGGGTTGATATAGAAGTTTAGAAAAATTGTGAAAGTTGACCATCTCAAAAAGCATAGGTCGCAGATTTTGGCTCTCTTCTGAAAGCTCAATGATTGCGCTGGAACGATTTCATGACCTTTAGAACGAAAATGAGATGCTGCATCGAATGCTACCACGATCCCTTAGAAAACTTTGTTCCATCAAATGTGGCGCCCGTTTGAAAAAAAACGAAAATATTTTTGGAACAACCTAATAATTTGCGCCTAGATAATCTGATTTTTCGATATTATTCCTCCTATCCATTCTATATCGATTGAATTGATGTGACCACAAAGTGGCCGTGTTTTTGCAGTGAGGTGCTTATGCAACGAAAAAATTTTAATTGGGGGCCAGCCCTTTTCTCATTAGCGCTAGCCCGAGTTGCTGCATTACATCTTCTTGCTTATGATGTACATAGATTTCAACTCAGTTCAGAAGGAAATTGGATTGGCAGGTTCCGCTTCGCAATGGTTCGTGCCGTTTCGCAGTTACAGTATATCATTTCGTGGTAAGCACCCATGTCTGCATCTCTTCATACTTCTCAGTCTTTGCTTGGCAAGATGTCAGCGCTGTAGGCTCGCAAAGCATCCGGCAATGTGGATGCGCTGCTCCACTTCAATGCTTCGCTTACTCCGTTTTGAAACATACTGTAATTGAGTTGTAATTAATAGTACATACATTGGAGATTAGACACCACTGTAGAACCTCAGAGGCAGTGATCGGAAAAATTGCGAGTGCGAACTTTTCGGACCTACATGGCTTTCTGGATTCGCTGCCGAGACGGTGCTCGTATCAAAAAAATAATTTTCCTGCGTTGTCCCTTCTTGGTAATTGCTGAGAGTGTTGAACGAGGGATCCCCGCCTAAAACAGCGACCGGCTGCAGGATACTGTAATTGAGTGTCTTAAATTTTGGGGAAAGACGCTAGTAAGTGTATGTGGCTATTAGAAGCAACAATCACACGACAGAAGAACTTCAGCTAGTCCTTCTTCTGTTTCTCGTCGCCGCAAGGCCATTAAAATATCGCACATGAAGCAGAATACTTGGCACTAATTTTGCAGCAAGTGCCAGAAGCCTTCGATTTGAAGTGGAGTGTTTCTTGGTGCATCTTTGAAATATGGTTGGAGTACAGTATCCTGCAGCCGGTCGCTGTTTTAGGCGGGAATCCCTCGCTCAACACTCAGCAATTGCCAAGAAGGGGCAACGCAGGAAAGTTATTCTTTGATACGAGCACCATCTTGGCAGCGAATCCAGAAAGCTATTTAGGTCCGAAAAGCTCACACTCGCAATTTTTCCGATCACTGCCTTACAGTGGTGTCTAATCTCCAATGTATGTACTATTAATTACAACTCAATTACAGTATGTTTCAAAACGGAGTAAGCGAAGCATTGAAGTGGAGCAGCGCATCCACATTGCCGGATGCTTTGCGAGCCTACAGCGCTGACATCTTGCCAAGCACAGACTGAGAAGTATGAAGAGATGCAGACATGGGTGCTTACCACGAAATGATATACTGTAACTGCGAAACGGCACGAACCATTGCGAAGCGGAACCTGCCAATCCAATTTCCTTCTGAACTGAGTTGAAATCTATGTACATCATAAGCAAGAATATGTAATGCAGCAACTCGGGCTAGCGCTAATGAGAAAAGGGCTGGCCTCCAATTAAAATTTTTCGTTGCATAAGCACCTCACTGCAAAAACACGACCACTTTGTAGTCACATCAATTCAGTCGATATAGAATGGATAGGAGGAATAATATCGAAAAATCAGATTATCCAGACGCAAATTATTAGGTTGTTCCAAAAATATTTTCGTTTTTTTTCAAACGGGCGCCACATTTGATGGAACAAAGTTTTCCAAGGGATCGTGGTAGCATTCGATGCAGCATCTCATTTTCGTTCTAAAGGTCATGAAATCGTTCCAGCGCAATCATTGAGCTTTCAGAAGAGAGCCAAAATCTGCGACCTATGCTTTTTGAGATGGTCAACTTTCACAATTTTTCTAAACTTCTATATCAACCCTCCGAAGGAGTTCAAGTAACGGTTCGATAGAGCAAACCTTACAGAATACAGTAAAACTACTTTTTTCTCTTTTTCATAGCTCGTCATAATTTTTCAAAAGATTTTTAACAAAACCATCAGATTTTGGCAGGCCTGCATCAGCCACAACCGCATCAAATATCATAATTTTTCGGAATTTGAGACTACCAAGATTTTACTATTAGTTATCACTAATTTTACAAAGTAAGTGCAAGTTTACGGGTTCGAAATATCAATTTTCGAGTTTTTCGGCTACAACCTGGAGCTCGCTAAAAAATGAGTTATGATGATTTTATCCCCGGAAGCTAAACGAATCGGGAACAACACCTGTTAGAAAGAGGAGAAAATGCTGCATCGAATAGTGCGCGAGCTGCTTTTTTTGATGTTCTACGAGGATTTAGCTGTCTAAGTATGGAAATCGGTAGCATCAGTTAAAATTCTGTTAAAAATGTATGACAAGCTACGGAAAGGAGAAAAAGTTGTTTCGAATTCCGTAGGGTTTGCCCTATAAAGAAGTTACTTGTGCTTTTTTGGAGAGTTGATATAGAAGTTCAGAAAAATTGTGAAAGTTGACCATCTCAAAAAGCATAGGTCACAGATTTTGGCTCTCTTCTGAAAGCTCATTGATTGCTTTGCAACGATTTCAAGACCCTTTGAAAGAGAATGAAATGCTGCATCGAATACTGCCAGAATCTCTTAGAAATCTTTGTTCCATCAAATGTGTCGCCCAAATTACTTTTGGAACGACCTAATATAAAGAAAGTGATTAGAGTTGACAGCCGGTGACAAGAATGCGAGTCCAGACAGGGCTTGGCAGAGCTGGCACCAGGGTAATTGAGAAGCGAAGTCCCTTTGATCTTGAGAATTTCTTATGAAGTTTCCTTTGACTCTAAACCCTAAACGTAGTAAACCCTCAAAAAACGAAACATCGACTAAAAAAGATCGCAATTTTTTGTCTGATTGTCCCAAAAACGATATCCAGCTTGACCAGTGCCAGCTGTGCCAAGCCGTGCCCTTTGATTCTTCATCCAATCGTTTTGTTCAAAAGGGGAATAAATACAGATTTTCCATTTCCCTTAACTGGTTTTTATCAAGTTGGTTAGTAATAAGCTTGCTTTTATGCAAATACCCATATAAATGCTTGTGGTTTTTATGCATTTTATCTTGAAAAAAGTAGTTCAAAGCTTTTACTATTACATATCAAGTAGTCAGATTTTTCTACTATCGGTAGAAGGCAGTTATCATCGTTACCAGTAAACCTCTAAAAGCTCAGTTTTTTGACTTTATCGCTTTTATGTTATGATGGGTGTGGAGAATGAGTAACTTATTTGAATACACTTAGCGAATGGCAATAGAATCTGTGTTTTGCCATTTTAAAATTCTTCCATTGATAACCGAAGTTATTTTACGTTTCCACACAGTGATCAAATCACTTTTTCATTTCTTTGCACTCTCGTGGGAAAATAACTACTCGTCAAACAATATGTACATCCAGTTCTTAAGCGTCTTCAGAGACGCCAAACACTAGACAGACATTTGAGGGTTTGAAAATGCTCAGAATTTTTGTGAAAAGCTGCATAATGGAATCAGCATGCTCAAAATCCCTGCTACACAAATTTCCAGAGTTTTTCGGAATTTTTTTTTCGAACGGCCTATTTCACTATGGCGCTGTGTGCTGAAAGTTCATACCGTAATTCTACAGTAGCAAAAAAGATTGGAATTTCGCTTCATACAGCAAATCTAAGGTGAACCACGATCTACAGAATGGCACCTAATGATCGAGGAGAGACATCGAAGCAAGAGAGACGACCAAACAGTGTACACATTTTTTTAGGTCACTCTTATATTAGTACGATATTTCTTAAGAAGATTTTTACCTGCTATAACATTGATTTCTTCCATGTTCTAACGTTGCACAATGCTCACATCTTTACAAACAGTAGAGTCAGATGCTTAATTCAACTTGAAGCTTGCATCTATCTGGAATTTGTAACTAAGCTGTTGGAACACGACGGATATAATCTAGAAAGGACATATGATCATGGGGATGAATTTCCATCTAGTGTCGTTCAAAGCAGAAAAATTGTGGCAACTTTGTCGCTGCAGCTATCTTGAATGTATCTTTAAAAACTATACTTTCACATTCTGCGCATCATGTGAAAGAATTATAATTTGTAAAGAGTTGTAAACTGTTCAAGACCGTTTTTGTTTAGCAGAGTGACCCACTGGGCTAACTTAAGTCGTAAGTCTTACTCTTGCCATATGTTGGATTGAAAAACTAGAACATAAATTAGATCTTATGGAGTAGACGATCCTAAAAACTTGTTTAGATCGTTTTCAAGCAACGCTTGGTTAACCCACGCGGTCCTGCATAAAAAAATGAACAGAAGCATTTTATTTTCATGCATCTATTATACAATATAAAATACGTTAAATCACGATGTTGAGCGTTTCAAAAAGATGGCAGTCCCAGTCACCACCAGCCTCCTCCATAGCGACGACCATAGCCACCGTAACCACCGTAGCCACCATAACCTCCATAGCCTCCATATCCTCTACCCCATCTTCCCCCATATCCGCCATAGCCTCCCCACCCAAATTGTCTTTTTTCTCGGATGATGGGAGCGCTTAAAAAGGGCGTTTAAGAAAAAGATCGCATGTGTAGAGATTGATAGAACTAACTCGGCTGGAATATCGTCAGGGCTGAATTCCAACATTTCCTCAGCGAAACATACGAGGAGGAAAGCGAATAAAAGACAGAGTGTGAATGAACGCATCCTGAAAGAAGTGGAATAAAGGTTAAAGGTTTTCGAGGTGTAGCACATAATTGACGGCCAAAAGCTACAAAAGTTCTATTTTATTTCGTAACTCTGAATTATCAACAGTTCAGATTATATATGATGTACGGAAATGGGTAATAATGTTAGCAATATGTTGAGCGACAGTGTACACTGTTAGGTGATGTATGACAAAATAGTGTATCACTCAGAGACTTGAGAGGAATTAGTTTTGTAGATACGGATCTGCTACAGGCGCTACCACAAATGCATTTATACCGTCTTCCACTCAAGCGAATGATGACTTTACCAACCCTTTCTGCCCGAGCAACACCTCTCTTCGACCAAAATGGCTCATCGCTCATCGCGTTCGCCTAATAATCACACATGTCTGGTGTGATATGTAATCATCTATGAAAAAATTTTCAGTTTGTAAAATGTTTGGCAAACTGAGTCAATGTTGAGTACTGTTTGATCCAGTATATCGAGAAATTACCTGAAAAACAATAACTTAATTTATTCAACAGCAAAGAACATCACAAGCACTAGCATAAATATCTGGTATGTGGATATGTCAACAACTGCGACTTCATGGGTTTTCGAAGGTCGGTGTTGTTTTATCAAATAGTCAATAAAGCAGTCAATCTGCGAGTTCTCACCGAGAACATTCAAGAAATTACATCATCCCAAGTTACTTAATGAAGCCGAATTTAATGAATTTTGACTCCTATTAGTTTTGAGTGTGAAGGTATATGATGTTGCGACTTTGTAATTTTGTAGAGAGAATTTTCCTTTATCAGGCTACAGTCTAGACGTGCCGATCTAGATAAATTCGACGAGAGCCGGTGCAAATTGGTTTTTGAACTCTAACGGTTCAATTCTCCGAGAAATAAATGAAATAGGGTGCAAATTCATAGGTTAGGATCTCTTCTTCGAGAGCTTTCAGATGATTTGTACTATGAAGGATACTTCTGCGACTCACACCAGGGGTGGAGAAGCTCACCAGACAATACTCGTTAGGTGGGGTGGAGTTGTGATGAGAAGCTTCTTCCCCGAACATAAATTGTAGAACACATCAACCCCTCTCCCCCTCTCATATATTCTATGTCTTCTTGAAAGCTCTTGAGGAGGAGATTTTAAATTATGGAAGCGCAACTGGATTCATATAGCTCTGAAGAAGTTATGAGGGTTTAAGTTCAAAAACCAATTTTTTACCTGCTTTTTGAATAGCCTGGCTCTTGGCGAGGTTTCCATGGATTGGCACCGTTGAAAAGTAGTCTGATAGAGCGAGCCTTAGTCAACAAAACCTACAAAGTCTCATTATCACGTACCTTCACACTCAAGATTTGTGAGAATCGAAATGTCAGTGGTCACTAAGCGACCTAAGATTGCATAATTTTTCGCAATTCCTGTTTTCTGAGCAACTCCCGTTTGACTGCTACTGACTATCTGGCAACAACACTCAGTTGTTGACAGTCCCACATACCAGACCTATTATAAATGCAAATTCACATTTTTCGAAATTTTACAAATCAAAACTGATTCTCGGCATTTCTTAAATCTGCATACTTTCTTCACACTTTGTTAAACAAAATTTGCTAAATAAAATTCGTAAAGTGAGTTTCGCCCTCACGAAACATCTAATAAACACGATCCTTGGAATATTAATGCCGTTCTATTTATCGTAATTGTGGCTCTAAAGAAGCCCGTTGGGTTAGAGCTCTAAGATCCATCAGCAATCGAAAAGCTTCTCGCTGAAACCGTGCGAAGTGCTGAGGCATGAATACGCCTATGGCGGTGATGGCCTGCAGGTGCTTGCGGTAAGTGATGCAATAAGATTGTGTCTCACTGATTTTTTTCGCATTAGTTTTACTTATTTTTAGCATCAGCTAGAGAAAAAAAATTTCTAGGCATAATAAGTGAAGGTGGTCAACATGTACCAACTTAAATATAAAGGTAAGTAAAGAATCTGCTCCCACTATCGCAGGCCTGTTCATACCTTCGTATGGTCGGTATCTCCGATCACAAGCAAAACATGCACATATAGGGTGTTTAAAAATGTACATATTGTTTGATCATCAATAACTCTCCTGGTCATGTGTCTCGCGCCAATCTTTAACAACCATTCTGTAAAGCTTCAACTCAGATTTACAGTCAAGAGCAAGTCGCGGACTTCCTCTTTCCTGTGGAATTACGATTAAATTTTTGAAAAGAACTCCAAGCTGTTGAGAGTCACACTTGTCTCACATTCAAAGAGAAAACTAAACAAACAATCAAGAAACTTCACTTAATTTTCTGTGCCGTACAGGTTTCTAATGATGACACACTTTATTGCCTGACGTTTCGGTTCCTGACACACCGTCTTCAGAGGCCTGGAAAGGCGTCAGTCACGTTGATATCACTCTACTTGCTGCCAAGCCCTCCTCCATCTGCGTACTCGATTCGTCTAGGATGAAGATCGAGAGGCTGGGCGTAGAAATCTACCCACCGAGTGTATCACCGACAGCAGTGTTATCTGCTTCAGAACTTGCTCGATGGAGTGCAGTGACGAAATGAGCAGTCGGAACAGTTAGAGGCTGCTTAAGTATAGATCAGCTATCTCACAGTTCGCATAATGCAAGATACGGCAATAGATCACTTGTGATAGAAAGCTTTTCATTCTTGCCGTTCATTTTCGGATTCCGGGCAAGTATGTAAGACGCCTCTAAAGCCTTTCGTGCAGAGATTTGATCTTCCAAGGCTAATATTTTGCACTTGATTTCAAAATCATCACCGCCATGTTCTACTTTCCTATGTTTACCTAGCGGGCTTATTATGCTCTGACGTTTCTTACTAGCGAGGTGTTCATTTATCCTTACGCTTAATGGCCGGCCGGTTTCACCGATATAAACGGAAGAGCAGCTCGTACATTCTATTTGGTAAACGACGCCAGTTTTTGCGCAGTCACCGGGTCTTCCGTAAGGGCACACTACGCAATCTCGTGTAGCACAGGTTCTGTCGTACAGCCTGTTGCGCACTAGCTGTTTCTTAAGATTATCTCGTAGAATATTTACCAATACAACATCCTTTTGCAGCTGTGCTTGTGCTAGACATTGCTTGATTTCGGCAGTGACCCTTTCGGAGATGAAAGGCAAGCACAGAGCTATTCTGTTAATACTCTGCTCGCTTGTCTTCGTCGGGACTCTTTTTGGGCGTTTAAAATGCATCGTATATCCATTTGAACTCATTATTTTAGCCGCAATTTCCAATGACTCTTCTCTTTCAGTCTTGCCACTACAGACATTCTTTGCCGTTTCGAACATGTTGTGTATGACAGCTCGTATAACGGCTATCGGATGCGCGGATTTTGCGTGCAAAATGATGTTCTTATTACTCTCTTTGCGGTACCATTTAATGCGTACCGAGCCGCTAGCCACCATCAATTGTATGTTCAGGAACGGAAGCCAGCCGTCTCGTGGTCTTTCTCTTGTTAAGCTTATGTACTGCGATTGTTGATTGAGTACTCTGAAGCACTCGTCCATTTCGGACTGAGTTGCAGTAACGATACAACAACCATCAATGTACCTGCAGTACATAAGCGGGCTCCTGGCTAGCACAGGTTGTTCTATTTTGCTCATGAAGCAGACTGCCAATACGGGTGCTAGCCTTTGACCCATTGCCAGCCCTCTAACTTGCGCAAAATATTTCCCAGACCATTTGAAGATATTGCAACTCAAGCATTCCTTGATGAGCGTCATGATGCGCGTCTTGCTGAGACCGTACATCAGCATGGTTTTGGCATGTGAGTCCAGCATCTCAAAAAGTGCCTGCAAGGCGCTCTCAGTGGATACATTAGTATACAAAGAGGTGACATCAAACGACTCGTACGCGCAGTTCTGGTCGAAGTTCGTCTGCCGTAACAGCTCAAGGAAATGACTGTGCTGCTCAAATGGGCCGGCACCTTATTTAAGAGTTGAGTGACAATTTTATTAAGGAACCATGATATTCGATCCGTTGGCCCTTTGGTACAGCTGATGATGGGCCGTACTTTATACGACTTAGCGGACATAGACTGCATATCGCGCAAAGAGAGTTTATGCGTTTTAACTAGTCCATAGAAGACAGGGCACGTTGGTGTTTCCAGTTTTATCCTACTAAGAAACTTCTCGTTAAGACCTGCTTCTCTACCTATCAACGTCCATACATGATTCAACCTCTTGCTTTGTGCAAGGAATTCCTTCTCACTTGTTGGTTGATAGATAGTTCGATCTGACAAATGTTCTTCAGTTATTGCGCGGTCAAGATCCTGTGGCATGACTACAAATTCTCCACCTTTATCGCTGACCGAAAGGCGAATAGTTCCATTACTAGTCAGCTCCCTTATCTCTCTAAAACCCTGCTCCTGCGCGCATGTCAAGTTAGATCTTCTAATGCCTTTGTTGTTATTGAGAATTTTCAATATACCCAACGAAAGTATACGGAACTTGGTGTCTGCAACAGCATAAGGTTCAGGCTCTTTGTAGAATGAAGACGGAAATGGGATTGATGGTAAGGTCCTTCTACTAAGAGCATCAGATGTTTGCATTTGTTCGTCATGCCTCAATTTAACCCGTAGCTGGTCTCTAAATCGTTGCAGTGAACCCAATACGCTGCGATATGTTCTGGCTGTTATATTCTGGGTTGGTGCGAAAGAGGGTCCTAAACTAAGAAATTCAATAGCATTCGGAGAGATCTGAGCTTGACCTAGCACAGTAACCCTTGCCGTTCTTTTGTTTTCAGATCGAGCAGTTGTATTGTGAGTGTGAATAACTGGCGGATTTCTATCTACTCCCAAAAGACTGCTTACCTTCGCCCGAGAGTTTTTCGAATTTTTCGCAAAGTCGGGATTTGATTTTGGAGCGCAAAGAGTCGCATATCTGCTTTGACGCACTTTCGATCCTCAGCCAAATTGTATCGCACAGATAACGACGACAATGTTCTTCTTTAGTTTTACATTTCAGCAAGCTCGTGTATAGGGTGCG